CTGCCAGATAAATATTTTTTAAGATATGTACGATGGGCCTTCTATGTAACAATGAATACATTGCAGACTAATGTGCTAACAAGCTCCAGCTCTCTTTCTAGCAGCTGAATTCTTGGATAAAATCATTTTGCAGGGTATGAGCAATGCAGCTCTGAAAATAGCATCACTGCAAAATGAAAGATGGAAGAAACCTCTACAATGCTGATTTATTTCAATGAAATTTCATACTTTATGTTCAGTGTCTATTTTAATGTTTTCATCAGAATTTTCATACCTAATAAAATGTAAAATTATAGAACTTGCGAGCTTCAAAGCCCCAGCATAAATTGTTAAGAGGGAAACAAAAGCAAACAACAACAACAACAAAACAGAATAATAAAAAATAATCATTCACAATTTACATCATAAAGTATGTAAAACAGAAAAGTGTTTTGTGGATCCAAATAATAATCTGCATTTATCACCATCACATGTGCAAAGATGCTCACAAAAAGAAAACAACACCAATCAACAAGCTGTTTCGCACTGATCTTTGATTATGTTTTTACTAGAAGAATGGGCTGGGGCAGTACTTTTAAAAATCTGTGATTTTATAAATTGCGCATAACTCTCTGCATCCAGACATATGCTGCTAAGAAAACACTAAGAGGTGATATTGCACTTCCCTGTCGTACCAAACACCATCTTTTGACTTTCTTTCCAAAGCAGCGCTATGAAGCTGCACATCAACAGATTTTTTCCTAATAATGACAATTTTAAAATAGATTGTAAAATAGAGATTTCAAATGAGAAGGAGCCTGATATTTTACTACCTACTAGTGAGGTTGTATTTTCTAATTAACATCAGCTGTAAATTTGGCATGCTTCTTTCACAGATTTTAAGCTAAAAAATGAGACTGTATGTATATAAGTGATGTCAAACTCCCCAGCTACACTGGTAGAAACAGATGAAAAGAACATATTGTAAATATCTTCCATCTACATTCAGTCACTGATTTATATAGCAGGCAATGCTGCGTACCAAGCCCAGCAATGTTCTCGCAAAGACCTACACTGGTTAGGTTCATGTGAAAAAAACAAAAATACGAACACGCCAGTCGTGCAAGCCCTAATTCATATGACTCACACAGACTTCCCTGAGCTGTCCTAATGACACCAAAACAGTAAGGATGATTCAAGTGAATAAGAAATAGCAGCTACACAGCTTCTTTTCTAAAGACGTCTTTGGCTTTTATGCCTGCATACATACATACATATATATATATACATACACACACATATATATAGTATGTATATTATTCAATTCTCTGTATATTATTTTTATCTTCAGATGTTTTACACCAATTTATCTAGTTAGAGATCTGTCTTGAACGTAATGTATAATTTATTTTCTCTACTCAATTTATTCTCTACTCAAATACTCAAACATATGGAAAAGCAGAGAATGAGTAGAAGAGGAAAATTAGAGAAAATAAAATTAGCTATATCCAGAATGATGTAATTGCAGAAATAGCACTATTGACATTGAAAGCTTTTAGTCCCATGTTTGTCAAAAATCAAAATATTTGGCTCTGTTTACATTTTTATTGGAATAGCCAGCCTTACCTGGAAGCAGTAGGTCCATCTCTGTATCAACTGATACTCATTATCAGTAGAAATATCAACACTACTAAGACATGCTGTTCCAAAAGTCTACTTAGGAATTTCAGCATTTTTAAAACCAGTTTTTAAACTCCAGACTATCTGTTTTGGTGCAGGAGAGATAATAGAGCAGTAATAGAGTCCCATGCCACCTTTACCAGGAAACATGCAAAACTACATTTACGTGGCAGTAAATTTTTCACAGAATTCTGTATAGAAATGGATGTTAAAGAAACAAATAAGCCTATAAAGAAGGAAGTGCATTGTGTACAGTGTTAGTAATAGAAACGCTGTGGCTATAAGGACAGGAGAGCTGTATACAATGGTATTCTCACGTAAGTGCAAAATATCTGCAATGCCGCATGTACAATTGAAATATTTGGACTTTCTATGTTAAAAGTAAGAGCATATATACTAAATTAAGAGCTAATATATAATAGATGCCTGATACATTAAACAAAGAAAACAATACCTTTTAGCAAAATCTCTAATGTATATTATCAGCAGGTAAGCCTTAGATCTAAAGATCAAGACTTAATTATTTCTATTCTTAAATTGTTCATTAAAGGAAGTTTTCAGGATTTGCGGTGAAACGTTCCAACAGATGAAGCAACAAATGTGTTTACACCACCTGCTCAAATTTACAGTGAGAAATTAAGACTCCCATTTCATAAAGCACACACATCCAATTGAAATTCTCTGTACATTGCTGGGCAAATATACCAAAACCTTTTTGCCATGTCAGAGGAGTAAAGTGAATCCAATGCCTGAGATTCTATCAAACAGGCACTGCTTAAACATTCAGTAATTTTTGCTAAAAATACATCATACTGGTGTGGTTCTGTATTGGTGACACACACTTTTGAACACTATAGTAAAAGCATATTAAAAATACTTGCTGATGCAGAAGAAACAGATGACTGAAGGAAAAGTGATCGTACAGTGATGAGTTGATGAAATCACAAACTACACAGCCTTCAATATGCACATTTTCATACAACAGTTGGGCAATGCTGCTTCCTCAGCATAACTTTTCAACTAAAAGAAAAACAGACTGAAAATAATGGGAAAAGGCAGATCACTCAGAACACAGTATCAGCTAATCTTTGCTTCTTCAATTATTAATATATCTTCTTTTCTTCATTTTCTTCTCCTGCCTTTTTTTTTTTTTTTTTCCCCCTACTGTCTTTAATATTCTTAATATAAAATCCTTCACTTTAAGGGCATTCACTTCTCTTTGTTCTTCCCCATTTGTGATCTGTAGCGGGAAATAAACCCCCACTAACCGTGAAGACTTAAAAGAGATTCAGAAAAAATGTTTTCTCTTTCACCTGTTACATCATTACTTTTGCAAAGCAGCTCTCCCTCTATCAACCTGTTGTGCTGTCTCCTAAATTAATCAAGTTTACTTGCACTTTAGTTTCAAAAGGAAAAACATTACTATGAAGGATGGACAGGTGCTATATATAGTTTCTATAAATTTTTCAGTGGAGTAATAATGGAGAAAAAAGAAAGCTAACAGTAAGTTATTTGTGTAGGACATGAAAATGCTGCTAACACCATATTAATTACTTAATAATAGGTATAGTTTATAATTAGAATTGCATTAATATAACATGCTTCCCTGTTGACAATTTCTATTATCGTGACTGGCAGTAAAGGTAAATTCTGAAGGGAAATGGCAAACACAGGCAGACGTGAAAAATAATTTTAAATAAATATCACATAATGTAATGCTTAGAAGTGATCTGGAGTTCTATTTGAAATTATACAACCTTCTTTTTCTACAATCTTTTTATTTCACAGAGTTCTATATTTCCCTCTCTTAAAATCAGACAAAGCTGTGCAGAAGATCAGGTGTGGTTGGTTGTGTATGATACACTTTGGCAATACAGAAAGAAACAATCAGATATGGGAGCTCAAGCACAGGGGAAGCACTGATTTAAAGCCCCAGCTTTAAATCTTATTTTTATATGATACGTCTTTATAAATAGCAAAAGATTATTTTCTTAAGATAGTTTTCCCTACGATGAAAGGCTACATGTATTCAATTTAGAAGACGTGAAGTGGTTATTTTACACTTATCTTTGTATTCCCCTGTAACAGAACAGAAATTCAGAATCGAATCCAATTATAACAACCTACCAGCAGTACTAATTGGTGAATATGCATTGCTAGTAATTGCTGTAAACTCATCCTTCTGCACAGAGTGAACGAGGGCAATAAATTCCACCCAGCGTTAAACAATGGGGAAGACTCCCATCAGCACTGTTTTTCTTATGTAAAATGCATTAAAGTGAGTCATCCGCTTAAAAGTTCCTTACGGATAGCTTCAACCCAGGTCAGGCACTAAGGTAAGTGCTTCAACATAATAATAATTATAATAATAATAATAATGAAAGCAAAGAAGGTGTGGAGAAAAAAAATAAATAAAAAGAAAAAAAAGAAAACACGGTCATTAGTTCATAGAGCTTATTTCAATCTGTAGCTGAATCTCAAAGATGATGAATTGGATTATTTTTGCCCTTATATTGCCTGCCTTCATTATGTGATTCTCGCACGACCCTAGGCAGCAGTTTCATGCTAATAAGTACAAGGTCCTTTAAAGATTGCTGCCTCCCAGGCATGCCAAAGAGGCTGTGTTCGCACCGACCCCCGCCTTCCCTCGCAAAGGTGCTTTTGGGAAGCGCTAATTCCAAGGCCGGCGCTTGGACTCGTGGAAGGAAACGGTCTCTTAGTTGTGTGGCTTTAAGCTCGCTACAAAAGCCGGGCTTGTGCACATGCGTGCGCACACACGAAACCACACGAACAAACACATACATAAAACAAACCCCGGAGCTGTCAAAACACTCCCGGTGCGCGCTGGCGTGCGGCCAGGTGCGAGTGAGCGGAGCTTCGGGCAGCGCCGTCCTTCCTCTCAGCGGCCGGCAATATCGCCCCGCAGTTCATTTGTACTAAAATCACTCAAGTTTTGATTTTTCTTTTTTTCTGATTTTTTTTTTTTTTTTTTTTAAAGAGCTCCCTAACTCCTGCCAGACCGAAATAACCCCGGTGGGAGGAGGGGGCGGGCTCCGCGTAACTCGAAACTTTCCTCCCGGCGCGGCTCGGCCGCCGAGCTGTGTATATTTAGTGATGTCGGAGGCGTAGCCTTCTCCTCCAAAAGTCCGACTGCCACCGGGGGACGGTCCCCCCCGGCTTCCCTCTTTGCCCAGCCGAACCCCTGCGGCTTTTCCTCGCCGCCGCTTCCCACGCAGAGTTACTTTTAGCAGCGCTCGGTACCTCTGTCCCCATCGCCGGGAATGCCCTCGGCCCGGCGCTGCCCCCCGCCCCGCTCCCGGCGCTGCCCCGGAGACACTTACGTGGTGGGCGAAGGGAACGGGCCCTCCGAGGAGTGGTTCATCACCAGGGACTGGAAAAGTGTCAGGCTAAAGACCAGCAGCCAGCCAGCAGCCATCTTCCTGATCGAAGATCGATCCCTCTTTTTTTTTTCCCCCCCAAGTCGGCGAGACGGTAATAATAATAAATTCAATTATTGTGCGTGCCGGGTGTGGGGGGGCCGCCGGTTTTTAAAGGCTCCTCCGCTGCCCCCGCCCGCCCCCTGGCACAGCCCAGCGATGTGCAAGGAGCGCGGCCGAGGGTGGGGAGGAGGAGGAGAAACGATGGAGATCGGTGGGTGGAGAGGGGGAAGAGAGGAGAGAGCGAGAGAGGCACTCCACTCTCTGTTACTCCAGCAGCAGCTCCAGCTTCATCCGATCCGCCGCCATCAGCGCTACTTTTGTAACGGATCCCCGCTCACTCCGTGCGTGTGTCCGCTTCCCTGATTTATCCCCGATTGCGGAGCAGCAGCAGCAGCGGGGGGAGAAGGGGGGGGGAGGTGGGGGGAGGAGGAAGAGAAGGAGAAGGAGGCGGGGTGGGGGCTCCTGAAGGGAGAGAAGAGAAGGAAGAGTTGGCGGCGGGCGGCTTTCTCCCGGCTGCTGCCTTCCTGCCGGCGGCGGGGGCGGGCGGCGGGCGCTGTGCGGCCGCGCTCCTTACATGGAGCGGGGAGCTCCGGGCCGGGCCGGGCCCCCGGGCGGCGTGCCGCACCTCCGAGCTTCCCGCGTGCTATTTTTAACGGCGCTTCGTGCCTCTTTTAATCCCTATCCCCCTCCTCCTTCTGGAGGAGCAGCAGCCGCACGCCCAGCAGTGCGCCCAGCCTGGGGTGCATTCATACACTCGTATGTAGATGGCCCTCTGGAGAGTCCTCCCGGTGCGGGTCCCTGGGGCTCGCTGCAAGTCCCCAGGCTCTTTCCACCTCAGCCACATCTCTAACGCGTGTATTTTTTGCAGAGCCCTCGGACGACTCAGGTTGCCTTTCCTTTATGCTCGCATACACCCTTTTCTGTGGCTGCTATACATTTTCCATACAAAGTAAACCTGGTAAAGGTTGCTTAGGTAATTTAATAAAGCAATTAAAAGTTCCTAACAGCTTTTCACTAAAATTTCTTTTCCTTCTTTCCTTCTTCTTTCCTTCTGCATTTTTGTTATTTGCTCAACAGGTGGAAATGACAGAGCAGACACTATTCACGCTATTCTCACATCCATTGTATCAAAGAGTGCCATAATCTTGAATGTATTAACTCAGAACAGCCTCTGTAAAACAGGAAAGTGTTCATCTCTCTTTTAAAGGTGGCAGAAGGACCAAAGCTGAGATCCACAAATGGAGAATTGAGTGTTTGCATTGCCTGGGCTCCACGCCAGCACGATATTTCAGTTGCAATCTGTAAACCATGCAGTCACTCATCCACATTGTTTCTGGATTGGAGCTGGCACTTCAAAGCTGGTGGGAAGAACTCCCAGTTGTCGTCACCTATCCACCTACCTGTAGGCACGTAGGATTTAGGGTTTGGTTGCAAATCCAAAATAGCAATTTCTAAAACAGTAATGCAGCCTGTAAATTCATACAGTCAGAGTAGTATCTACAGTCCAGCCTCGGGTCCCAACAGGCCTTTCTGCTTTGCCACATTATGTAGCAACACTTCAGATCCAGCTATAACTTCTCATCCAAACACCTCTGCTGTGCTAACAGGGTGCAGGGGACCAACGATCTCTGCTATAAGATGCAGTGGGCAACTACAGAGCCACAGGTATGGGGTAATTTGTTTGACAGACATACTGCTTCATAGGGTTCGCTGAGATGACATCCAAGATGGGGAAAAGGCTTTGCAAGTGGAGTAAAGGATTGGAGAAATGCATGGGGGAATGTGTCTTAAAATGTGGTTCAGGTCATACGAGGCCACGGCAACTTCTTTGAGTGTAATTTAAGGCATCTCCTCCCTCTTGTGGCCTCCCTCTGTTTAAGGCTAGTACTAGCCAGTATATGAAGGGCATCAGTTCACTTCTGAACATGAATATTGCCCCAAAATTGCTGGTTCTGCTGCTTGCTTGCATCCTCAAGGTCAACATGAGTTCATGCCTGAACTGTGCTGGGATCTTCTATGTTCTCCTATTAGTACACCTACAGCCTATTTGGTGATGGATTAACACTCCAACCTTACCCAATCAGAATAAGGAATGGAAATGCCCCACATGGCAACTTGCCCAACAGAAGGACACAACGTTCCCTCAACTCATCTCTGTCCAGCAGGAAAAATGCTCATGTCAATTCGCAGCTCAGTTCCCCATGTAGGCCCATATGCTGCTGACCAAACCATGGTCACAGGGCTGGCAGGGAGGTGGTCTGTACACCTCCCACTGAAATGGACATGCAGAAAGGGTGCACGGATTGGTCAGAGCTGACAGGGTGCAAATGGCTGTGCCAGCCCACATGGGAAATGGTTTGGATAGGTGAGATAGTAAGCAAGAGCACTCTCATTCAGACATACTGTTTCAATATAAAATACAGGAGGCAAAGAAAAAATCAAAGAATGGTAAAATAAAATATTAAATACCAGTGTAGAAGGTTATACAGAAATGCTTTTTTCGCCATTAGTGATGCAGCATCCGTCATTTATAGAGCTCCTTAGGGCAGTAAGTATTGTGATTTATAATTCTAACAAGTTCTTTACTATGAGAGTGGTGAGGTACTGGAACAGGCTGCCCACAGATGTTGTGGATGCTCCATCCCTGGAGGTGTTCAAGGCCAGGTTGGATGGGGCCCTGGGTAGCCTGGTCTAGTATTAGATATGGAGACTGGTGGCCCTGCATACAGCAGGGGAGTTGGAACTTGATGATCCTTGGGGCTCCTTCCAACCCCATCTCTTCTATAATTCTATGAACAGCAGTAACACATGGCTAGCGAAGCAACAGTGCATGGGTAGGTTGGAACCCCATCTAGCAGTGTAAGCTCCAGCTTGTGACTGTTTCAGCAGTGCTAATACATTATAACAATAGCTGAAATGCAAAAAAGGAGCTGGAGAAAAATTCTGCTTTTTTTTATTGTAGCACTGTTTGAAACACCAAATCTATGGTATTCTTTACTGCTGAATAACAAAGATACCCTGCAAGGTACTAACCTCACAATGAACTCCACTTAGGTGTAGGTGAATGCCTCCCTGGAGCATGCTAAAACTCAGGGAAGAAGAAGTAGAAGGGTGTCAATGTGTAGCTGCAACATGGAGGGGGAATATTCAGGTTAGCTCTGAGAAAGCTGACTGAGGCACAAGAAGCAGCCAGAGCTGGAACACAGAGCTCAGCACCTGTGCCACATATGTGGTATTCATGGGAAGGCTCAGATCTGTGATACACAACTCAAGTTCAGCCAGCAGGCTTTACAGGATTTACAGGCAAGCATGGACTGGAGCCTAGTTTGAGAAAAGCTGGAGTCAAACAATAATTTTGCTTCAAAATGAAGTGAGACTTGAAGCTAGCTTTTGAATTTTTGTCCTGATTTTATTTTGAAAATCTGGAAATCAATGTCATGTACTGAAAATAAAAGGGTGTAGGAACTCCAATAACACTGTATTATTTTTCTCACTCTTTTGTTCCACATTATGCTTAAAATGCTTAAAATACTTTTACTTGCCAGATATTTAATGAAGATGCATAATGTTTAGAAATGCTGACCTCATCATGACCTCATCATGACTCATGGATATGAATAAATGTGCTCCAATGAGTTCCCTCTGGCTTTGACAGGAAGGTGTGACTGACTTAATACATAATACTAGCAGAATTAATGTTCTCAGTATCTCTTCATTGTCCTGTAATCTAGGAAAAGGTAATTTCGTCATGAAATTTTGAAAAGTCATTACAATCTCCTAAGTGATCAATTTCTTAACATTTGATTGTTAGAATATTTACACATGCAGACGCTTTTAGAACAGTATTTCATATATATGGTTCCTACTTCACAATAGTGTTGCACTGGAGTTATTCTTATAATTCATCTTGTTAAGGTTCCTAAAAATCTATTACGACTGACAAGTCTTCCTTTATAAGCACTTAAATATAGACTTGAATGACAAACCACAAAAGTAAATCTTTCTTCATTTTTACTTCACCTCATTCTAAATTTATCACCTGTCATATCTGACTGGGACCTTTCTTTGAAGGAGCATAGGGATGACAAGGATTGATATAATGACAGGGATCTTACAAAAAATTTGCTTTGCACCTACTGGAATTACTGAGAATCTTTCAGTTGACCTTGATGGTTCTTGTGCCAGAAATAGAAGTTCCTATGGCAAAAATAAAAAATTTATTTTGCATCAAAGTTTTCTCAGTTGAGCATCAGTAAGAAGAATTAATTCATGATCAAGTTTTTTTTTAATTTAATTTCAGTTTCTGGATATATTATGTATATTTTCATAAATTATTTTCACTGTTATAAATCCAGCATAAGAGGTGATACAGTTAAATTTTCTGCCTGTGAACCATTTAGAAAACAAACAAAAACAACAAAAAGCAGATTCCACATTAGAACTAGATTAAAAGTTTTATTAATCTTGTTTCATGCTTGTACTTCAACTGTTTTTCCAGTAATCAGCACTGCCATAAAACCTTTGGATAAAAGGTTTTGACAAGTATTTTGATAGTTGGGCCCACAGCTCTCACTCAGCTGAGCCAAACTTTGCTCACTAAAATACTTTAAAATATGACAAGGTCTTACTGCCACAGTATCACCAGAATATCATCTTGTTCCTGGCACACCGTATCTTCTTTATGTATTTATGTTATACGGGGCAGGAAGGTCTAATCTTGCTGAATAATTCTTACTCTGTTTGATTGTGTGGGGGTGACAGAGAGAGTGCAGACTGCCTGATCACAAATTCTAATTTCAGGAAAAAAAATACTCCTATTTAAAACTGCAGTAGATGGAAATGCAAAATCTGGCCCATTGCAAGTGAGAGAAATTGTTTTACATATTTGAATTGAATAGACTTCTGTATTAGAAAAATTTTATGAGTCACACTGAGTTGAAAGGTAGGGTTTTTTGTTGTTGTTGTTTTCTGAGATGGCTATTAAACCAACAATAACTTGGGGGTAACTGTACTCAAATTTGTAGCCAAGCATCAGAAATATTCTCTCTCTGAATACTGAAGAAAACTATCCTAGAGCAATGTGCCAGACATGTAAAACTTCATCCATTTAAAAAGGAAGCATAACATAAATTTCACTCAATTGTCACTGATTCTGGTACGTCTTCACATGGAACTGTAGTACAATGTGTAGATAGAGGTTTGATTTTGAAAGCCCCCCTGTTCATCCAGGTGTTGTAATGCCACTGAGTTAGGAAGGAAAATTAACTTTTTGTTCAAGCATCACTGTATTGTATTTTACTCTGTAATGTAGAAATGCTCGTAAATCTCATGGTGCTGTTGTGACACTATTCACAGAAAACTATCAGTGTCAGTAATCTTGCTGGAGGAAACCCTTAATTATAAATGTTAAAGCATAATATGTTCTGGGCTTGTAAAGAAGTGTAACTGTAAGAATAGTCTTATACAAAT